ACACTTCATTAGCAGAAATGAAAGGTAAGCCCCAGAATTCCAGGTAAAATGCTCTTCTACTCTTTATACATCTACATCTCCAAACTAGTGAAAATGTCGAGGAGGATCCCAAATTTGGTATGCACCTGAGAAGAACCTGCAAAACTTCAATCTCCCCAATAGTTGTAGCTTCACCACTACCATCTGCCTCAAGACCATCCAGAATAATATTATTTTGCTTTTTCTTCTTCCATTAGATACCACAAGAAGGCCAGGACTACCATTTCCAAGTCCTTCTTTCTTCCCAATCCTACAGAATTTTATCCTCTTTCTTGACCCATCTTTCCCCCACTCAAACCTCCACCATACCTCAGCCACTCACTGCCATGATCGTATACTAGGTTTGATATTACCAATAACTTCAACATCTCCAAAACTTTAACTTCAAACATCCAAATTTCTGACAGCCTCCTATCTTTCCTTCTCACTATTTTTAATAACCTGGTTCCAAAAAACATTCTTTAACCCCTAAGGGACTTTTAACCCACCCACTCATACACTCATTTTCCACTCTACCCAGCTTGGGTTCCATGGTCTATCATTATAACCACTCCTTTGCATATACCTCCTTCACCTTGTATCCTCTCATCATGAAATCATCTAGCAAAACTCCAATTGTGATTAAATTCAATGCTCTGTCAACTCTGCCCCTGAATCCACACAGCTGTGGGGGGAGAAAAAAAACACAAGCAGAATAAAACAGCTATACTGACTAGTTCATGAATCTCAAGTGAGCTGTCTGGAAATCACATATTTCCCTAGTCCATTCACTCTCCTAATCTTCTAGTTAACTTTTTACCCCTTTCTTTAAATTCCATCTTCACCAATAACTGATATTTTTACTTCTATTTCACTTAAAATATAAAAGCAATCAGGAGATAACTTCCACACCACACCTATCTATCTGCCTACATTTCTGCCCTTCTATTCTGTCAGCTTCCCTTCTATAACTATGAATGAACAATGCTCCCAATTATTTTAATAAATGCCCCCATCTCTCTACACCCACACTAGATCTCATCCCCTCCCACCTACTCAAGAAAATGGCTCCAGCACAGCAATTCTCTCCTCTTTCTTACATTGTCAATTTTCCCCTCATGACTTGACAGTCTTCATCAGCATAATATAATTTCTCCCACCTTAAAAGATTCCCTCTCCTCACTTTCCTCTATAGTTGCCAGCCCGTTTTACAGCAAAACCCTTAAGAGCTGTCTATACTTGATATCTCTGAACCACTCCATTTAGGTTTAGCGCCCATTACACTGAAACTGCTCTTTTTAAGATTAGCAATGTTATTAAACTCTCAGGCCTTAATTTACTTGACACATCTGCAACATTTGAGTTAGCTGATTACTCTTTTGCTTAAAACACTTGGCTTCCTTCTATTTCTCTGGCTGCTCTTTCCAGTCTCCTTTGCTGGCTCCTTTTTCTCTCCTCAACCTCTAAACATTGGAGAGTCCAGGTTTGGGTCCTTGGACCTCTTCTCTCCTGTATCTAAATTCCCTGAGAGATCACAACCAGTCTCCTAGCTTTAAATACCATCCGTACACTGATAGTGCCCAAATTTATATCTCCAGCCTGGACTTTTCCTTTAAACTGAAGACATGCATTCAATTATCTTCTCAGCATATCCACTTAGGTGACTAGCAGGCATCTCAAACCATACCCAAAACCAAGCTCCTAATCTCTATCCCACTACCTCCTACCAAAATAAAACTAAACATAAATAAGCAACAACAAAACCCCTGATCTTCCCTGGAGTTAATCCAACCTTCCAGCCACCAGGCTAAAAAAACTGGCATTTTCCTTTCTTTCCTATTTCACATCCAATCCATTGGGAAATCTCATTGTCTCTATCTTCACAGTGGACTGCTTTTCACCATCTCTGTCACTGCTACCATGATCCAAGCCAATACCATCTCTCACCAAAATGATTATAATATCCTCCTAACTACTCTGCCTACTTCGACCTTTGCCCCCGGCCCATAAGTCTATTCTCGTTATAATAGCCAGAATGATTCTTTTAAAATTTATCTAATAAAATTAAATTTTAATTCCTTTCAATTTCAAATGTCACTCCATCTGTTGAAAGCCCCTAGTGGCACAGAGCAAAAGTACATAAAATGGCCTACAAGGCATTTAAAATCTGTCCTTCATCCGCATCTCCTTCTAGTGTCTTCCTCACTTACTCCACTCCAGCCACACTGGTCTTCTTGCTTTCCAGAAACACACTAGGCAGGTTTTCCTGAGGACTGGCATTTGCTGTTCCCTTTGCCTGGAATGCTCTTTCTCAGATATCTGAATGGCTTGCACCTGATTCACCTTCTTCACACATCTCTGCTCAAGTGTCTCCTTATCTCTTTTTTTTTTTTTTGAGACAGAGTCCCACTCTGTTGCCCTGGCTAGAGTGAGTGCCCTGGCGTCAGCCTAGCTCACAGCAACCTCAAACTCCTGGGCTCAAGCGATCCTCCTGCCTCAGCCTCCCGAGTAGCTGGGACTACAGGCATGCACCACCGTGCCCGGCTAATTTTTTCTATATATTTTTAGTCGTCCGATTAATTTCTTTCTATTTTTTTTTAGTAGACACGGGGTCTCGTTCTTGCTCAGGCTGGTTTCGAACTCCTGAACTCAAACAATCCGCCCGCCTCGGCCTCCCAGAGTGCTAGGATTACAGGCGTGAGCCACTGCGCCCGGAATTATCTCTTGACCATCCAACTTTCAAATAACAATCTCACCTACCCCCAAGTTTATTTTTACCCATAATACTTAGCACTAACAAACTGTTAATTGTTTATATTGTCTGTTCCCCCTCTCTAGAACAGAGGAATTTTCTGTCTGGTTTGTTCACTGCTGGATTGCCAGCACATGAAACTGTGTCTGGCACACAATAGGTTGAAAGAATAAACACTTTTGCTTCTATTGGCTGATCAAAGGATAGTCTCATTTAAAAATTATCAAAAATTCAAGACCTGGGGCAACTAAAAATGTTTAATTCTTCAGAAAATAAGATTTCCCGAAGTTCCAGACTGTGTAGTTGCAATCCGGTCTAATCCATTCACCAGCTATGACACGAACCTCGAAGGTGTATGGTCATTACCAGTGACGCACTTGGAGCTGTTCAACGACCTTTTAACTTTTACTATAAAACCACCCTAGTTTTGTAGAACATGTTTTAAAGACTATTCCTCAGCCAGTAACTCTTGTGTTCAGAACCTCCCTCTGAGGCTGACAAAGGCAAGGGGAGAAAAGACAGGCGACGCGGAGATACAGTACAGCGGCCGGTTGAGCTGGCACAGTAAACCGCGGCGCGGTCTCTTTCCATGAGCCCGTTCGCCTCTGAGGTCCCGAGAGGAGCAAGACCTGGACTTCCAGCACTTTGAACTCCAGTAACCACAGAGCGACAGAAGGAAAAGCAGACGACACGAAAGTGCTGGGAGAATCCTCAGGAAAAGAGAAAGGAGTGGCACGCCCTGGAGTTTCCTCCCTGACACACTAGAAAACGGAATTTGGGTTTGGCCGACTTATTGCCAAAAAACCACCGAAAGTACTTCAAAACCGCCTTGAAAGAGTGGTGTGGGATAGCGGGCGCGGGGAGGGGAAGCTATCTGGCGAGGACCAGCCTTCAGCCCTTCCGCGACCGCGCGGGGCATTTCCTCGGCTGTCCAGTGTCCGACTGGACAGCTGAGCTGCACGGCCGCCTCGCCCTGGCTGCAGGGACAGCCATGGGGCCCACGCCGCTCTCCTCAGCCATCGCTGCGCGCGCCCTCGCAAGGCCGTCACGTGACTCCGGGGGCAGTCCCAGCGCGGGAGCCTGAGCCCTCTCCTCAGGCCCGCCCCCAGGTCGACGCGGATGTAGCGGGGAGAGAGGCTGGGGCGGTGGCCAGAGCCCTGAGGGCTGAGCTGGCGGTTACCGGGTAAAGGTAGAGCACCGCTCCCACCAACGCCAGCAAGAAGGTTATGGCGAAGATCGCGAAGTCCAACATGGTTCTTCCGCCCCGGGGAGCCACGTCTCGGATCCTGCGCTCTGGCAGCAGCGCTTCAGCCTGGCCGGACCTAAGGAGTTAGCGTGTGGGCGGGGGCACCCAGCGGAACCTGCGAGCGAATGGGCCGCCGGAGGCGTGGCCACGGCCTGCGGCCAGGCCGGCGGGGAGAGCAATGGATCGCGGGGTAGCCGGCGCGGGCGCCTGAGTGCATCTCTGGAGGCTGAGCCGCCCGACGCCAGCTTCACACCCCAGGTGGGGTGACGGCGGGCAGGATTTCAGAGCGTGCCTGCGACGTGGGGACGGAGTTGCTGACAAAAGGAGAACCCAGGCTTCTGACAAATGTTAGGAATTATCTTTGCTCTACCCCGATCAACAATTTTTCCAGTGGATTTAAGATCAAAATCTCTAAACCTGCCGTCCCCAACCCCGGGGCTGGGACCGGTACCGGTCCGTGGCCTGTTAGGAATGGGGCCTCACAGCAGGAGGTGAGCGGCAGAAGAGCGACCGAAGCTTGGGCTGTATTTACAGCGCTCCCCCTTGCTCGCATCACCGCCTGAGCTCCGCCTCCTGTCAAATCAGCCCCGGCATTAGATTCTTACAGGAGCGCGAACCGAATCTGATGCCTGATGATTTGAGGTGGAGCTGAGGGGGTGATGCTAGCGCTGGGAAGCGGCTGCAAATATAGGTTACCATTAGCAGGGAAGTTTGACTGCACAATAAATGTAATGTGACTCAATCACCCCGAAACCATCCGCCTCCCCTGGTGCGGGGTGGGTGGGGCGTGGAAAAATTGTCTTCGATGAAACCGGTCCGTGGTGCCAAAAAGGCTGGGGACCGCTGCTCTAAACCAATGGGTCTCCAAGTGTGGGATCTCATTAGAAATGCAGATTGTTGATCTCACCCCAGACCTACTGAATCAGACTTTCGGGGGCCGGTGTTGACAGCAATCTGTTTTAACAAAGCCTTACCAGAGATACCGTCACACACTGAAATTTGAGTGAGAACCATTGACCCAAGCTAACCTAAGCTTCCGTTTCCTTCTATGTAAAACAGTGAAAAGAATACCACACACAGTTGCCTGTAAGATTAAATTAGATATTTTTTGAAAAGCACTTAGCACAGTGCCTGGCAAAACTGAATGAATGTCAGACTTTTGGGCAATTGACATTAAAAAAAAATCCCTGAATGAATGCTATCTACTTTAGCATTTTAGTGTTAGTTGCTCAGGACTTCTCCATGGCTCAGAAGTTTTGATATGGATAATGTAAGGCAACGCCTGATGTTTACTGGTGCTCCACTGAGTGAAATGGTCCTAAAAGTATTTGTAGATTTTCTAGCTTTAATAATATAAAATGGCAGGAACAGGTAGCAATTTAGCAAGAGAAATGCATTTTAGAGCTTCTGTGATAAATGACTATTACATATCATGTAACATATCTCATTGAAAATGCCAAATCTTTTGGCATCTATAGCAGATATAATGAAACATTGCTATTTAATATTTTCCATTTGGCAGAAATTATACTTTTAGGTCTCTCTGTGCAGATAAGTGTGTTTCAAACTGTCACGTGTTTCAGAAGTTCATTTTCAAGTCTCTTGTTTAGAATATTAAAGACATTTCCAATCAAAATGATGTTCCAAATAGGATTTCAAAACAGCAAACGTAAGATTTTTAAGTGCATAATGTAGCTACAAAACAGTAACCTTAGACAACAATCCTCCAGTATATCTGGACTTGTCTTTTAGTTCCAAATGTAGCCTGAGGCCATCTGAACTTTGAGGGTTTGTGAAAAAGAGACAAAAGTTCCACAGGTTGGACAGCGCATAGTACTTTAGAGACTAAATCTCTAAAATTAGACATCTACGTCCTCTTTCTGTGTTTTTCAAACTTTTTTCCCAGATGCTCTCTAAAAAGTATTTTTAATGATCATATATATACATTCACACATTTTCTGTGTTGACATCTAAAATTTTTATCTTGACTTTAAAGAATTATAAATATTCACATTTTAAAATTGTTATCTCTCTTTTAAATGTATAAAAAGGAATTTAAATATAATAGCAATATGATAACTATCATCGGACTCTCTTTATAAATCTATAAACTCTTTGTGAACAGCTGGAAATTTTCCATGGCTTCTTTTTCTGAACTTATTTCCATTGCACTTACCCCACAGCATTTTATTCTAAGGAAAGTTTTTTTCGTTGTATGTTGTTTTGTTTTCTTAGAGACAGAGTCTTGCCCTGTTGCCCAGGCTGGAGTGCAGTGGCATCATCATAGCTCACTTCAGCTTCGAGCTCCTGGGCTAAAGTGATCCTGTTAGGTAGACATCAAGGGAACTTGGCTATCCTAGGGACAAAGGCGGGGTGCCTCGCCTTGGTGCTGCCTTGAGCAATTGCCACATCCGGGGAAGAAGAACAAGGGCAGGTGCCCTGTCTTCGTGCTGCCCCAACTTGCTCGTGCTCCACTCCAAGCAAAAGCAAGTGTCATACCTGGGGGAAGGAGGAACACCCTGCCAATCTGCAAAAGAATGTGAGGAATTACCCAGCCCTTGGGCTAGGCAACCCACGAACAGTAGGATCTGGAAAGTGACCTAGAGTAACCTAAGGCTAATTATCCTTCCATTAACTGTCCATCAAAGTGGTTCCATGGTGATGTCCGAACCATGAGGAGGGCCCAATCTGGACAGTATAAACCAGGACCCCAGACCATAAGCCGAGCCTCTTGTTACAACAAGAGGCCATTTGTAGTCTGTGGGAAATGTATCTTGCTCTTCCTCAATAAACCTTGTTTTCATGCCTATCTTGCTTTCGATGGGTCTGGTCACTCTTTAGCCAAGAGCACACCAAGAACTGAGAATAAGATTGCCCATCGACAATCCTCCTGCCTCAGCCTCCTGAGTAGCTACAACTACAGGCGCACGGCACCACAACCAGCCTTGAATGATTATTATGTATTGTCAAAATGAGCCAGGATTCAGTATCAGTTCTACTCCTGTTTTTTGCTTTAATAATTATAAAGCAAAACCGTTTCCACATAAATAACAAGGTGGAACATTGTTATATTTAAGCATTATTATTCAATATTTTGCAGTTCGTTTGAGATACAAGCCAAAAATCATAAAAACTATGATTTTATTATATAAAATTAATTTTTGTATATTAGTCTTTTAGCTCACATCTCAATTAGGTCCTCTTTCTATTTTACTGAAAATCAAGGATTGGAAAACATCTGTGCTGGTTGTTCTCCATTCCCCACCCCGCCCCTATAACTCAGATCCATTCTTTGCCAGTCTTTGCCATATACTGTGACCACTGAAGCTAATACCTTCAGACTACGCCTCCTGGGCTCTTTATAAGTTCACTTCCAAGTCCACCAATAGGAGGCATCAGTCAGCTATGGCTGGGGGGAAAGCAGCTTAAGCTTTTTTGTTCCCTCTCAGTCTGCACCATATTTGCTGGCAGGAGCTCTATCCCACCTTTTTTTTTTTTTTTTTTTTTTTGAGACAGAGTCTCACTTTGTTGCCCAGGCTAGAGTGCCGTGGCGTCAGCCTAGCTCACAGCAACCTCAAACTCCTGGGCTCAAGCGATCCTTCTGCCTCAGCCTCCCAAGTAGCTGGGACTACAGGCATATGCCACCATGCCCAGCTAATTTTTTTTTTCTATATATTTTTAGTTGTCCGATTAATTTCTTTCTATTTTTAGTAGACGGGGTCTCGCGAACTCCTGAGCTCAAACAATCCGCCCTCCTCGGCCTCCCAGAGTGCTAGGATTACAGGCGTGAGCCACCGCGCCCGGCCTGTAACTAACTATAGCTTTTGAGGTAGAGACTCCTATAATCCTCTTAGCATTTCTGAGCAACAGTAATATTATTTTCTCTTCTTGTCCCTTCAGACCTAGGAGTGACAATGGTTTCCCCTGTTGCTGGTCTCTGGATACTTCATGTTAGAGTGTGAGTGGGTTTTGAGAAATTTTGCAAGGCCACCCTTTCACTTTAACATCCCTTATTTGTTCCCTTAACCCTGCTCACACTTCTGTGTATAGTTTCTTCATTAAAGTCTTTTGAACCATTTGGCATAGATATTGTTTCCTGTCAAACCCAACTCTAGTTGGCACTAGGAGTGGCTCCCAGAAACAATTCCTGAAGATGGAATTCTAGGCCAGTTGAGGTGGCTCATGCCTGTAATCCTAGCACTCTCAGAGGCTGAGGCGGGAGGAAAGCTTGAGCTCAGGAGTTCAAGACCAGCCTGAACAAGAGCAACGCATTCCCATTTCTACAAATAATACAAAATTTAGCCAGGCATGGTGGTGCACACCTGTAGTCCCAGCTACTTGGGAGGCTGAGGCAGGAGGATCACTTGAGCTAAGGATTTTAAGTGATCCTCCTGACTCAGTCTCCCAAGTAGCTAGGACTACAGATGGGTGCCACCACGTCCAGCCATGCAATCACTTTTTTTTTTTTTTTGAAATAGAGTCTTGCTCTGTCGCCCCGGCTAGAGTGCAGTGACATCGTCATAGCTCATTGCAACCACAAACTTCTGGGCTCAAATGATCCTCCTGCTTCAGCCTCCCAAGTAGCTGGTAGCTAGGACTACAGGCACTCGCCACCACAATGGCTAATTTTTTCTATTTTTAGTAGAGACAGGGTCTCGCTCTTGCTTAGGCTGGTCTCAAACTCCTGAGCTCAAGCCATCCTCCCGCAGGGGCCTCCTAGAGTGCTAGGATTACAGGCATGAGACACTGTGCTGGCCCAGATCCAGATCTTATACCATGGCAAGTTCATCAAGGTAACATCATCCTGAGAAAGTCTGTGTGTGGAGAAGGCCCTCTGCCTTACTATTGTTCTAATTAATAAGACTATTAATTAATATAACCACTACTCATGTAATCAATATGGGAAACCCAAAAGTATTTGAATATAACACAAATGGTCATATTACAATTTTCAGTTTTAATACAAATTTGGATTTTTTCCTTAAAATTTTATACTTCAATTAAAAGTTCTAGATCTGCATATTTCTTTTCACATGTAAAATTTGATAAAGTTTGTTTTTAGGTCATCAATGTTCTTTTTCAACTTCACTGACAATGTGCTAAAGTTTCAAGTAAGCAAATTCTCATGTTATTTCCCATCTCTGTGATGTACCTTGATAGAATCCTGACCAAAAATGCTTACATAGGATTCTGAAATTATTGTTCTAGGCTGATTAAATCCATCTTCTTTTCTATAATCACCATATCATATGCATATGAATGATTTGACACACCAATTTTCTTCCAAAAATCAATGAGTTGTTAAAAATTTTGGGCTATAAAGTTGAGCAATGTAAAAAGGCACCTACTTTTAAAAAATTTTTGTATTACTAGAGCATGAATAATGGTAATTCACAATTTTTCTGTAGCCTTTCCCTAACTTTTCCAATCTCTGCAGTTATAATTAAACCACTTTTGAATGAATACAACTTTTAGAAAATATACCAAATGTTGGAGCAAGGCTTGTGAGTGTCACGGGGTCGGGGGGCACTCAGAAGGGATGGGCAGTAAGAGGGCCAGGGGGGACGCCAGAACCTGGGATCACAGCATGGAAACTGAGCTGCAGTCAGATTAGGGGATGGAGGGAGCTGGAGAAGAGAAGAGGGGAGGTCTGCAGCTTGTTGGCAGTGAAGGACTAGGCTGCCCAGGAAATGAAGGGGTCAGGAGGTCGGGTAGGGCCTTAATAGGCTCAGACAAGGCCCAAGAATGGAGCAGCAGGCACCAAAAAAAAGATACCAAATGTTATTTGGGCAAACTGTTTTACAAGAATTGAACAGATTGTCAAAATCATTCTAGTAAGTTCAGTATAGTGAATAAAGTATTAATAAAAGGATCTCAATAAAAAGTTTTAAAATATTGTTTAATCTCAGACTTTCATCAGATCAATGTGATATTACCGGTGTTCCTTGGTATACTCAGGGGATTGGTTCCAGGGCTTCTTCACATACCAAAATCCACTCATACTGCAGTTGGCTCTGTGGAACCCGCATATTCAAAGTCTGCCTTGAATACATGAGGTTTTACATCCTGTGAATACTGTATCTTAGATCCGAATTTGGTTGAAAAAAAACTGCTTATAAGTGGACCTGCACAGTTCAAACCCTAAGTTGTTCAAGAGTCAGTCAACTGTATACAATGGGAAAATATAGGCTCCAGTATCATTGTATGAAATAAACACATTTATTTGATGTCTGACATGGTGTTACAGACCTGCTTTACAAAGCAGGGCAGTCTTAATTAAGCTTGTAAATAACCTGGCTTTAATTATCCAGTGACTGAGAAATCTTACCAGATGAACTAATACAGGAAGTTTCCAATTCTAATGAAGTATCTTCAATAACAGGTAGTACAGTGAATAAATGGTGCTAATAGATATAGGTTAATGTTCATTTTGTTTTCTTGTTATTCTGGATCTAGAGACAAAAGTTCAAGCAAGAATCTGGAACAGTTTGGATTGTCTTATTATGGATTAGGTTCTATTAACTTTAACACAAACAGAAGGATTAAGTCAACATCTGGACTATCAAAAGTTGATGGATAAAGGATTTTAATTATGAAAGGAAGTACGTTTAAAAAAATCCAATCTAATGTATTATTTGGTTAACTACAAACGGAGATTTATAGCATATGATAATTTGCTAAGGGAAAAAATGCAACAGTGTTTGAGGTGGCTTTACAGCAAAAGGCTATATATTTGTTGTTATAGATGACAAAACTGGCCAATTGATGTAATATTTATCTTGTGCACATAGGACCACAGAAGAAACTCTGCTCATGTAAGAAACAGCAATTTTCTGTTGAACATATACTATATCCAATCTCTTGTCTACCAAAATAACTTAGCAAAGACTAAGTACTAACCAAATTATGAATTAAGAATTACAAGTCAACTGAGGAAAGTAACATCATTCTTTTATTTGATTCAAACCCATTTTCATATACAAAGCTAATTTATTATGTACAAAATAAATGTACATTCTTAAAAAGTGTTAGAATATAAATTTCCAAGGGACTAAAAAAAGTGCAAATTTTTCAATTATTATCCTTAATCATGCTATACAGAAACAAATCAAACATTACCTGATATACACACACTGAATTTTTTAAAAATAGTATTTAATGTAATGAAACAAAACATACATCTTACATATTTAATTTTAAGAGGATGAAGAAGGAAAGAATGTATTGCACCAAACATTAACTTAATTATAATGAGAATACTAATCAAAATTATTTACATATCTTTATTAAGACTAAAACTTGCTCAACTTAAACACCTTGTTTTGGGGCATACAAATATCCACTAGTCACAGTTTGGACAGTCAATAATTAGATATAAATAAGGCTTATTTAATATTCTTTTTCATGGTCAATTCCAGTAGAATGAGAAGGAACATTTTAAAATAAATACACAACTTTTTGAATTCCTTCAGTATTTAAGTAGCAGCACAATTTCCATGAACTTTTTTTCCAACAGTCATTCTGAATTTTCAGCTATCCCCACTGAGTTGGCTATGTGCATATATGTGCATTCAAGTCACTGTCACCCTGTCCAACACTCGAATGGTCCTATTTAATCTGAGTCCTAGAAAAACTGACAAGAGATGAATTAAATATGTTTGATATTTTTCTGTCTTAATGGATTCATTTCTGTAGCAACGAAACTGATAGAAAATGGCTGTCTGGCTTGATATCTGATTACTTTTTGCTAAACTTTTTGCTCCAAGTCCATAAAAGCAACAGCTGGGGGAAGGAAAGCCATACCTGTTAACAGTTTCTAAGTAGAAATGACCAGCCACGTAGTTTTCTTATGTAAAGCTAACTATAAAGTAAGCAGTTAGCCACAAAAACGTTTAGTAATGGTGTTTATGAATCACATTCTTTGAGAGCAGTAAAAAGCAGAATAAAAACAGTTCAAAATGTAAAAGATCTTTAACAGTAAGACCTACTTTAACATGTCATAATTTTGGAAGGAGTATAGAAACTATTATAATGAAATCACTACAAAGTTATCTAAGAAAAAGAATCAAAATTCCAAAGGAAGAAATAAAGTTATTCTCTTTAATCCCTATTATAAAAAACTAAGAGACTGAAATTTTTTCAGTTAAGTTGGACTACTGATATCCTCCTACCAGAATGACTTCTTAAACTGCTTAATGATTAATATAATTTTACCATTCTGAAAAGCAAAATAATCATGTCTATAACACACAAGTATTTTTCCCTTCTGAAATACAAGAATAGCATTTATGAATTTATAGGTTGAGCCCCACTAAAGCATAAAACACATTGCTTATATAGTGTGGGAAAATGTTACCACAAGAAAGAACATCAAAAATAGCATTTTAATGGTGACTAGTATACTGACTACCAGTGTACCTGTAGTTTTAAGTATACCTTAGGTTAAGATATATTACTAAAATAAAATTTTAAAAGGTCCAATTGGAATAAGATTTTTTTTCTTCTTTTTTTTTAAGACTAGTCAAGTGCAGTAGTAAGAAGAGGGGGCAATAGAATTTCTTTTTAAAAATAGTTTATATTTTAATCAAGAAAATATAATTTTTTCAGTCCCACCTAGATTCTAATTTTTCTTAGTCTCACGTTACAGTGCTACATTATAATAGTAACATAAGCAGCTAATCACCTTGTACACTCAAAAATAGTTATAAATAAATTTAAATAAGTAGACAGCCATAATCTAAGTGAAAACACACACACACACACACACATACACACACACACACACATACACACCCTCCAAAAACAGTCAACTTTGAAAAATGAATGGGTAATTTTTTAAATGACAAAATTGTGTTATTATTATGGTTATATTTGCAAAACTTAAGTTTCCAAGGAAACATATGATAACTGTACCATGAAAAACAAATGCTGAATTCGTGACTGACTTTCTTTCTTTTTTTTGAGACAAAGTCTCACTCTGTTACCTGGACTAGAGTGCAGTGGTATCATCAAAGCTCACTGCAACCTCCAATTCCTGAGCTTAAATGATCCTCCTGCCTTAGCCTCCCAAGTAGCTGGAACTTCAGGTGAGCACCACCATGCCTGGGTAATTTTTCTATTTTTTGTACACATGGGGTCTCCCTCTTGCTCAGGCTGGTCTTGAACTCCTGAGCTCAAGCAATCCTCCTGCTTCTGCCTCCCAAAGTGCTAGGATTACAGACTGAGTTTTCAGTTCATAAGATTATGGGCATTAAGATAAAGGTAAATACTGTTGAATGTGTCCTTTTACTTATCACTAAAGCCATTAGCTTCATAAGTCCAAATCCCAACGTTTTTAGAAATCATCCACATGTGACAAATGTCAGTAAGATAATCACCTAAGGAGATGTGTGTGATGAATTACTACAATATATCAGAAAAGTATCTGATAATATAGCCATTCTTACAAAGGTTCTTATACTGAAGAAAATCACATAACTCCTATATTCTACATTAGCCTTATATTTTTTAACATAGAAAATGGAATCATTTCCAATTTATGCCTAAATATCTTAAATGTTAATACTTTATTCCCTATAATACCTATGAAAAATTAAAGATTATTTCCATAAAGAGGCTGTACCTACAAAGTCATCAGAAGCAGTACATAGAGAATTTATCCAGCGCTTTTTTTTTTTTTTGATACTAGGTCTTGCTATGTTGTCTAGGCTGGGCTCAAACTAAACTCCTGGGCTCAAATGATCCTCCTGCCTCATAAATGAAAATTCTGATAACAAGCTTCAAGGCTACGAGAGATCTAATACTATGTTTTAAATTTAGCATTTGTCACTCATGCTTTCTATTCTTTAAAAATGTTAGCCAATTCAAGCGTGCAAAACATTCACTGACACACATTTTTGGAGGTAAATATTAGTTATAATTTTCAAATGTGAAAGGTCTGAAGAGAGTTCATGATAAGAACAATACCAATGGAAAGGAAATTTGGTTGTTTCTAAGGCATGCAAAACAAAGATAATGAAGTCATTCCAAACAAATTTTAGACAAAATGTCTCTCAGGATAATGATTAGGCCTATTTTCAAATAAGCCTGTGAATATTAGATCTGGTTTATAAAAATACTTGGACATAATTTCTATATAGGAAAATATTTTAAGATATAACATAATAATCCTGAGACATAATTTTTTTCATACCAAGAATATCAAGTCAAGAGATTCAGAAAGTCCACAGTAGTGCCTAGACATTTGCATATTTATAAAACTCCATGGAGAAATCTGATCTGCAATCTCCATTAAGAACCACTGGCCCAGAAGATGCTAGATTTAAATTAAAGAAGTCTGTAGCCCACATTTTAAATAATATTGAAATGACGACTGATAACACTATATTGTTGCCTAACGTCATCAGGAAAAGCACCACCACAACTTTGATAAATACAGGAAAACTCTAGGGAACAATGTTCTGGATGGGGTCAAGTCTGAAACAAATCAAATGCTGAGTATATGCAATATATGAATTAGGCAAAAAGAATATTGAGAATGGATATTTGTTGAGGGTGATAAAAATGTTTAAGATCGCTCACTTACTGGAAAGAACAGGTTCAGTTGATGAGAGGAACAATACAAAGCAAGCTGTGAGTCTGGCTGATAAATGAAAACGGATTCAGAAAATAATGTATTTCTTGTATCCTAGTCACAAACTGTATCCTGAAGATAGGTTTAAAACCTATTTATTGAAGACAGGTTTAACAATATATTTGAACAAATCAATCTTTACATATGTACCCCCCACACCCCATATTACATGTATATATTATTTAATAATACA